TCCGTTTCTCAATCTTGATTTGTTGAAAGGTATCGTTCGTGATCACAACAAAGTGGTGTGGTGAGCACGGAGAAGATGTCGTCAATAAAGTTTGAAGTTGAGAAGTTTACCGGAGTTAATGATTTCGGTTTATGGCGTTTGAAGATGCGAGACCTTCTTGTTCAACAATGATTGAGAAAACCCACAACATAATTGTTTTGAGTCTTGGTGATAAAGTTCTCAAGCGGGTTTCGAAGGAGAAGACGGCGGCTGGTGTTTAGCTGAAACTCGAAGGATTGTATATGACAAAATTCTTGGTGAATCGTTTATACTCGAAGGACATATCCTTCCTTTGAAGACATACTCCATGATGAGTCAAGAAAGGATATATTTTTAAAGGAGAGCAAGGTATCCTGAAAGTCATGAAGGGGTTGAAAGAAATCTTGAGAGGCAGGAAGAAACAAGGCTTGTATACCCTTGAGGTTGAAGTTGTAAGGGGTTTGACAAATATTGCATCCATGAATCCTGCGTCGAAGACAAAATTATGGCACATGAGATTGGGCCATGTCAACGAAAGAGGCGTGTTCGAATTGGGGAAGCAGAACCTGTTAGGTGGTGACAAAGTCGAAAAGTTGAAGTTTTGTGAATCTTGTGTATTTGGTAAATCCTATAGGGCAAATTTTAACAAAGATAAACAAAGAACACATGGATCCCTTGATTACATCCATGTTGATCTTTGAGGGCCTGCTAGGAATCCTTCACATGCAGGTGCAAGGTATTTTCTATCTATAGTTGATGATTATTCCAGAAAATTATGGGTATTCATTCAGAAGACTAAGGATGAAACTTTTGAGAATTTCAAAAGTTGGAATATTCTGGTCGAAACTTAAACTGGCAGAAAGGTTAGAGGTTTAGAACCGATGATGGCATTGAGTTCTACAATGAAGCTTTTGTCAATTACTTTGTTGAGTCTGGGATTGCAAAGCATATGACTGTAGCAGGTACTCCTCAATAAAATGGCTTAGCTGAGAGATTCAATCGAATAATCCTTGAAAGGGTTAGATACATGTTGGTTAGTGCTGGATTGAGAAAGGTGTTTTAGGCGGAGGCTGTTTCGACAGCAGCTTATCTGATAAATAGATGTCCCTCGACTGCCTAGGGAATGAAGACGCCTGAAGACTTTTGGTCGGGGAAACCACCTGATCTCGACAAACTGAGAGTATTTGGTTGTTTAGTCTATGCTCACATTAGACAAGACAAGGTCGAACCTAGAGCTCTGAGATGCATGTTCCTTGGATATCCTAAGGGAGTCAAAGGTTATAGGTTGTGGAGTCAAAGGTCATAGAACCAGGTCATAGATGACGAGATGAAATCTCTTTATGATAATAACACTTGGAAGTTGATTGATAAACCTGCAGGAGCAAGGTTAGGCTGTTGTAAGTGAGGTCAAGGAAGAAATCGAAGGAGTGATGCCGAAGAGCTTTAAGGCAAAGTTGGTTGCTAGGGGGTTCACTCAGAAAGAAGGCGTCGACTTCAATGATGTGTTCTCAACTGTTGTAAAGCATAAATCCATTCGAATTTTGTTGTCCATGGTGGCAAAGTTAGACCTGGAACTTGAGAAAATGGATGTAAATACAACATTTCTATATGTTGACCTAGACGAAACGATTCTGATGCGTCAACCCGAAGGGTATGCAGAAAATGATAAGGGACATTATGTGTGCAAGCCGAATAGGTCGTTGTATGGCCTGAAAAAATCTCCTCGATAGTGGAGCGGAGATTCGACAAGTTCATGGCACACATTGGTTTCACTAGGATCTAATTCGATCACTGTATTTACTTCAGATTTTGACCTGAAAATTCACTTGTTATTTTGTTGCTTTATGTGGATGATATCCTCATAGGTAGCAACAGTGTCAAGAATGTAATAGAGGTGAAGGCTGAACTCAACAAGGAGTTCAAAATAAGGATCTGGAGCTGCCACCAGAGTTCTTGGGATTGACATCTGGAGAGATAGAAAACAGTCAAAGTTGTGCTTATCTCAAGAGACATACTTACAGAAGCTTCTCGACAAGTTTGGTATGTTAAATTCAAAGCTTGTTGTGACTCCATCAAATCCTCAGTTTAAGCTTAGTACTAATCAAAGTCCGAGTACTGAAGCTAAAATAATCTATATAAGTAGCATTCCATGTGCTAGCGTAGTAGGTTCTTTGATGTATGTTATGGTCTGTACGAGGCCAGACATAGCATATGGTGTGAGCCTTGTAAGCAGGTATATGGTCAATCTTGAAAAGGCGCACTAACAAGCTGTAAAGTGGATTCTCATGTACATAAATGGGTCTCTGAAAAGAGTATTGATTTATGGCGAAGCCTGTGATGGTGATAGCATAGTCGAAATCGAAGGATTTGTAGGCTCTGATTATGCATGTTGTATGAATTCCAAAAAGTCTATTTCTGGATATGTGTTCACTATGTTTGACACAACAATTAGTTGGAAAGCAACACTTCAAAAGGTTGTTGCCTTATCAACCACTGAAGCAGAATATATTGCCCTCACTGAAGCTGTGAAAGAAACATTGTGACTTGAAGGTTTTGCAAAAGAGCTGAAACTTCAAGGTCGAAGTATCACTGTTAAATGTGATAGTCAAAGTGCAGTACACCTGTCGAAAAACTCAGTCTATCATGAGAGAATAAAGCACATTGATGTGAGGTTGCACTTCGTCAGAGAGATAATCGAGCGTGGTGAAGTCCAGGTGTTGAAGATTTAAACTGATGATAATGTTGCTGATATGATCACCAAGACGTTGTCAAGTTGCAAGTTTTTCCACTGTATGCAGTTGATAAAGTTGCATGATGAAAGTGAGTTTATTCCCTGTTGTTGTAGAGTTAGATCCAATGTGGCGATTTGTGAGATTTTAGGTCGAACTCTAGTTCTGTCGAGAAATAGCTTTCATGTGTTTCGACAGGAGACAAGCATGAAGTCGAAGATGAGTCGCATGTTGTAGTCGAAGAATACATATTGTAGTCGAAGTCAATTTTAATATGTATTGCCGAAATGAGCCTTGTGTTAAGGATGCAAATTGTTTAGTTAGCTTGGGTTGCAAGTAATCTAGTTAGTCTATAAATAGGCTAGATCGCTCAGGTTGTTGAGTGAAGCCAATTGTGATTTCATTTGTAATCATTTGTAAACCTTTATGAAAAAGTGAATAGTAAACAATTTGTCATAATCCTTTTTCTTCTTTCTTCTTTCTTCTTTCACTCTTTGTTCTGATTTTATTGTTTATTCAAGAACTATGTTTCTCAATCTTAATTTGTTGATAGGTATCGTTTGTGATGATAACAATTTTCATAAAAATTAAAGTTTTACTAAATTGTACATAAATATGTGTGATGGTTGTATGTTATGCATTTTGAAATATTTTTTCCTTCGAATGGAAAAATTTTATGGCGATCACTTCATAATATTTATTTAACTTTTAACAAATTTTAAGATATTAGATAAGAGCATCTTTAGTGGGAGTAAACTAAATGGATAAACTAAGATACTTTTTGTGGGCCCAAAGTGATTTGTAGGATTTAAAAAATTTATAGTTGATTTGAGTAGTTTTTACTTTAATGGTGGTTGTATCTAAGAAACCAAAATTTGACCCCACATTTTATATTTTTTATTCAAGTTATTATTAATTTAATTATTTTAATTAAATAACATATAATTTTTTAAATAAAATTTACCTTTAAAACTTAAAAATAATATTAAATATATTTTATTATAAAATTAAAAATGATACAAAATTCACAACAATAATACATAAAAAAATTACATTTTCATAGGAATATAATTATAATAAGGATTTGATTGGTTGGGATCCATTTGATAAATAAATAAGATTAGAAATTGAAAGAAAAAAATTTAGAAGTAAAACTGTGTAAAAAAAATTAAAATTTCTATAGAATTTATAGAAGGTAAAAAATGATAATATGACTGTTACTATTTTTAAATATCATACTCTTATTTTAATGTTGTTGGAATATTTGAAATATTTTATTAATATTAAATAATATTATAACATGTTTCACATAGTTAACGTTAACTATATAGATAATTTTGAATGTCATGTCAGCTCTCCTATAATGCAAATTCCTTATTACTAACGTAAGTTATAAAGAATTTTGGTTTAACAACCCTGCGTTAAAGTTACTCTTAGATATTTATCTGCCTTTATGTTTAAACCAAATGTTTTTCAATTAGATTGACATTTCCTTCGAATTTGAAGTATTTAAATTCTAACATTTATATAAAGGTCCGTATTTTAATTTGGTCATGCTCATGCTTCCGTAATGTAATTCGTTCAAATACTCTTTTGATTCTTCTTACTGATCAACTAATGCTACATAATTATTTTTTATCCAAAAAATCTATTCTCTTATTCGAAGTTTAACGTCCCAATTTGTTAGATTAGCTTAATTTACCATTAAATTAATGTGTGTGTGGTGAGGTGTGTGTGGGAGTATATGTTAATTAAAAAAATGATAAATAAAATAAATAGAATAATGATTTTAGTTAATCATTCATATCGACTATTAGTGTATTTATATTATCACAAATACAAAGTATAAAATAACAACTTGTGATTGATGCACATAATATTGATTAGAAGGTATAAATAGAAAATAAGTAAATAAAATTGCATTGTAAACTAAAAATAACAATCATTATGAAAATTACTATAAAATAGATGAAATATCTTTTTTGTTTTTTTTTTTTGTTAAAAACTAACATTCGTTCATTTAAATTGATAGAATATATCTGCAATAATACAAATGCTTCAACGTTCTTAAATAAAAAAAAGATGTAGATGATGGATAATTTCGGATCAAAATGACCCAAAAAATCATTTCTCTTTGATGGTGAGGAAGAAGGGTGAAATGAGTTAGAGAGAAGACAAAACTTCTCCCTCAAAAAACTAGGGTCAATTGAAATTTTTATTCGATGGGTTGATCTTATTACTACATCTAGAAACTTAAACAAAATACATCAATCGTTCAAATTTAGGTAAAGCTGATATGGCTTCTACAGCATTGCCTAGAGGCCATGCAGCTTCCAAAATAGCATCTTGGTATTCAATTTCCTTCCCTGATGTAATCTTTTGCAATGGATCAAGACCTGTCAAAAAAATAGAATCAATTATTTCATGAAAACATTAATAATCACTTTACTTAACAAATTACATCTACTTTCATAACTCAAACTTACCAAATCCATCAACGAGTAACACATACTGATATATAAGATCCATGCATACATATGATGCTACATTTTTCTTATCAAGAAACGGATAAGTCGATTTCGCGTCCTCGAAGTTTAACGCGCAAGCTTGTTTAGCTTTGGTCTCAATATCGACCGGCCGAAGTATGAAATTAGGTGTGCTTGCATCAACCATACCGGTCTAAAATGAAAGAATAGAGAAATTATAAAGAGAAAAATCAAAATAATAAAATCATAAATTATATAAAAATGATGATATATACATACATCTTCAGGTAGGTAAAAGAAAGATGAAGATGCAAAAAGGTTTTTCTGTCCATTTCCTCCTCCACCATTCCAAATTCCATCGAAAGTGCAATTCGGATATGGACATGGATAATTCAACTTAAGCGCCTTACGAATTGTGTTTTTGCATTTGTTAATGTTTGCACCAGAAGTGTAAGCAGTTGCCTTAAACTCTTCTCCTGAATATGTATAGATTCCTATAAAATCGAAAGAAAAAAAATCAATGTTATAATAAGTTATCGAACAGATCCAAAGTGAAACCCTAATTTGTGTTTACCATTAAACCCAGCTAAAAGGCAAGGGTTAGGAGAATTTTGAGTGAGCTTCAAAATCTCGGCTCGAGATGCTTCTCTACCAAAGTGTAAGTAACTGTGAACATAGAGATCATATGGTATTCCCTTGAGCACGATCTTCTTGATGTATGGATCACTTCCATCTGCAACTTTTGGAGCATTTTTAGCGGTTTTCTTTGACACTGCATATGCCATTTGAACTGATCCTCCTCCAAGATCTATTACTCCAACGGTTTTTGTGTACTTTTTCCCTAAATTTCCCAATGCATAGTTAACTGTCACCTATTAACACAAGGTATAAAAACATAGTCAAATGAAAAAATAAATCTGACAAAATAGATTAATATCAAACAAAAATCTTGAGTTTGATTAGTCATATACCCATAGATAAGAACCTTCTTGGATTCCATCAATTATAGAAACTGCGTCGGGTTGAACGTTGAAGGTACTTCTGTTGCTCAGCATATCTCTTACCTATATAGTAATTAATTATGAGCATAAAATGAAGCTTAATCGAAGGGCGAAAAACCTATATAACATTAGAAAATTAAACTCAAGGTTACCGATTGCAATATCTTTTCAGAAGCATCCCCATCCAAAAGCCTTAAACCTGCAGTTGCCTGCATTATTTTCAAATAAACCTCGTCATAAATTTTATAATTTTGTTATAGATAAAATATAAATTTTCGAAAAAGTACCCCGAGTCTAACGGGTGTCTTGGGCTGAAGATCCTCAGGAACCACATCTTCTGCTTGCTCTAAAAGTGGAATGAGAGATTTTGCAGCCTGGTCTGGATTATTAGCGTATGAACTCAAACCAGGTGTTATCTACAAAGGAGTACAATAAGCAACTTTATTTATAATAATGAAAACAGTTAGTGATGCGAAAAAGGATGTTATATATTGTTAACTCTACTACCTTATTATAATACTCAACACCTTTGCCAATATGAAGAAGATCTAGGTTCTGGTTAAAACGGTAAACATGAACGCGACTACCAGTGCTACCAGCATCGAATACCACAGCGTAAGAGGAAACTTCCTCTTGTTTTTGGAAAATCTTTCTATTGGTGAGAAGGTTATTTCCAAAGTATTGGGAGGAAGTGATTGCAGGCATAGAAAATAGTAGAAAAGTGATGAGTTTAAGAAGGAACTCCATTTGTGTAGGCTAAAGAATTTAGAAAAACTAGGTAGCTCCACTATGTGTTAGTCCTGGTTCACAAGCCACTATGTATAAGCAGAAAAAGTGAAGATCAAACAATTTTTCAATAGACATGCTATACTCGTGTTTTGGTTTTCTTTATATTATGTTACATGTAGCTGTCTAAGATAGACTAATAAAAGTGGGGCACTTCAGAATTAGCACAGTGTTTAATCATGTTGTTTTAATATTATTTTAAGGAAACTTGAGATTTTTAGTATTGATATTAGAGACAAAGAAAGAGTGAAGGCAAATTAAGTATAGTATTTATTAAACTTGTTCGAGTGTGAAAACAGTGATTCTGAATTTGGAGATTAAGTTTGTGACATTTGATTCTTCATTTCTAGAGTTCAAATCGACGAAAGGTGATATGAGAATACAGAAATTCTACTTGCTACGCAAATAAGTTTCTTTGCATCTTCCGAAACAATAAGTTTCTACTTGTTTTATTTTTAATATTTTATTTAATTTTTTAATTGTGTTTGTGTCTTTTTGGATTTGGTTCCAATTTGTTTAGAAATGTTTATTAATTATGATCAGGATCGCATGTTTTTGTAGTAAATAAAGGGTTAAATAGCTGTTGATTGATTGAGATTTTTCAAGATTCTTTCTATGTTAGAAAGCTTGGTTTTTTAGCACAAAAAATAAATAAATTAATATGAGAACTAATTTTAGGTGTTTCACATTAAATCCCTTTGTTGTTTTAGTGGCTTTATCATTCTGCAGTAGAATTTGTTGTTTTAATTTAAATTAAACTATTTTCTAATTTTATTGATACGAACTTATACAAATTTTTGGCTTGTTTCTGTTCACTATGCAGTAGCATCAAGTTTTTTTTTTATGCTTTCTATTATCAATGTTAATATGCTATATACTATCAAGTTTTTTTATGCATTATATTATCAATGTTAATATGCTATATACTATCAAGTTTTTTTTACGCATTATATATATATATATATATATATATATATATATATATATATATATATATATATATATATATATATATATATATATATATATATATATATATATATATATATATATATATATATATATATATATATATATATATATATATATATATATGCTACTATCACCGATTTTATTTATAAATAAAATTTTATTTTATTTTCTTTATACTCTATAATAATTAGATATATTAATTATTCAATAAGTCTAAAAGGTCAACTTTCTTTTATAAATAGAATCAGAAGAAATATAATTTTGTTTGATACTGTTACACCCCAAAATTTGACCAACATTTATTTACCCATCAAGAGTTATATGAGACTTTGAAGCTAGTCAAGAAGTTTGTTCAAGGGTTCAAAGGTTGATACCTTTGTCAGAAAACTCAAGAGATCCTCAGAGGAATTGGTTGAAATCAAGGTTGTGTGTCTCATAACTTGAGAGTTGTGGGAGCCCCTCAGATGATTCTGAGACTATGAGGATGGACTTGAAGCTTTGAGAAAGCTTATGAGATGTCTTGAAAGCCATCATGAAGCCTAGAGAGGTCATTGTGCAAGAATTCAGAAGATTTAACCATGAGTGGTGGAATTAGGGTTTGACTGGGTCAACCCTAGGTCAACTGATGATTTGGAGAGGGTTGAGACCTAATCCAAGAGCCATGTGATCATGGAATGATGCATTGAGATGCTATAAGGATGATTCCTAAACCAACTCATCATGATTGAGGAGTTTGAGAAGTTTTAAGCTAGGGTTTCTAAGGATTGACAGTGTAAAATCCCCTAGTTTGGTCCCTATCTTCAAGGCAGTTTAGCTCAAGATGTGATTGTCATCTCATCTTCCCCACAATATGAATGTTGTAGAGCTTGTCCTTAGCTTTAATTTGAGTATTAGAAGTCATTGATAGGATTTGTAGAGCTCAAGTTATGGCTTTGACAAATTACAGGTCATCTGAGGTATGTGAATCTGGGTCCTTGAAAGTCACCCAACTTGCAGACAACTTTTTCCCTAGTAGGATGATTCCTATGAACTCTTGGTCAACATGAATGTTTTAGAGCATCTTCTTTGCTTTCTAGAGAGTACTAGAAGTCCTTGATAGGATTTGTAGAACTCAACTTATGGTTTTGACAAGTCAAGGGCATTTTGGTCATTTGGAGGTTATAGGTCATTTCAAGCATAAGGCCATATCTCCTACTTCCAAGCTTCAAATGGAAAAATCTTCAACATCAAACTTTCTTAGAATGATGTTTTAAGGCTAGTAGGGAGGTCATGAGATGTTGAAAAGGCTCATATCAAAAAGTGATAAAAATGGCCTAAAATGGAGGCATAAGTTAATTAAGGTGAAATTGAAAATTGGAAATCACAAGCTATAAATCCAAACCATGTCATATAATAGGTCATTTTGACTCAAAATGACATTCTAAGAACAATGGTTCAGCCACAATTTTGATTTGAGGCTTGGATCTTAGGGCTGCTTTGGAATTGGATTACTTGCATCTTAAGGTACCAAACCAAAACTCAAAAGAACTCAACAAGCAAGTTGGTTATGCATTGTAACTCATCCTAAATCTCATGTGGGGATAAATTCAAGTCAGAATTGGTAGTTACAAGGAGCTTGGCATGAGATAGCATGTAAGGAGAATTGGATTCAAAATGTCATGACATGAAAAGTTCAATTTCTCATTGGATGATTCTAGAGGGTTCTAGATGATTCTAAACCACTCTATAAGATGATTGTAACTTGATCAGATGCAAGGTTGGTGTGAATTGGTGTAGAGAAGAGAGAGTGAGATCCAAAATCTTCCATTGCAAGTCAAGATCAATTTCTTCATTCCTCTTCATTTCCATTCATTTTTTTCACACAAACACATTCAATACCTCATATTGAAGCTGTGCAGATTGAATTGAGATCACATCTATGGAGAATTGAAGAGTTGGAGATTCAAATTTCAAGGTTGTATTTCAAAATCAGTTTCCAAGAATCAAGCATTTTCAGCCATTCTTTTTGCATACAGAAGCTAGAAGATTACTCAGTGAAGGAATTGGGAAAGATTCAAGGCTTGAATTGAAGGATTTCTCCATCTGTTCACTCAATTTAACCAGGTTTGCAACTTTCTTCGTGCACCTTAATTTATGCATGATTGATTAGGTTTGATAGGTTAGAATGGTTAGAAATCAATAGGAGATCATTTCTGGAAAGTTTGAAGAGAATTGGTGAAGATTGAACTAGGGACCTCATTTCTTTGATGACCAAGAACTCTTGTTATATTGAGAGATGAGCTTAGTTTAATAGCAAGAAATGTCCAGGGGGAGTTGGTGAGTGATCTGAGACATTTAGTTTCAAGAATTGTTAAGATTGATGATTGAGCATATTTTGGATCTTGGATCGGGTTCATTGATTTAGGAGGTTTCAATGGAATTTGAGATTGTAATCGTGTTCAGCATGAGAAATCAAGTGGATTAGGGTCTTGAATTTTAAGAATTGATGAAGTTTTGAGAGATCACGAGTTGAGGAAGATGAAGCTTCATGCTGCATTTCCATGGAGGTTTCAGAAAACCCTAGGTTGGAGGAAGAAGATGAACTCCCATCCATCAGATGCTAGCTTGACCTTTGACTCTTTCTGAATCCAACGGACCACATTCAATTTCGTTTTGGAGGGAATCTGAGAAACAATGCAAAACGCACCGTTTCATTAAACGGTGGCTTCTGGGCTCAAGTAATTGGACTGCTATCCCCACCCCCAATTGAGGCCCACTTCAATAATGAACTGAAATGGATTACTTTTCGCACCTAATCTTTTCCATTTTCTTTATGTTTTCTAATTGTTTTTCTGATTTAATATTGGGCCTGGCGCTTTACTTTCTGCACCCACATTTTGAGCCCATCAATAAACTGAACTGGATCTGTTTACTGATTGCACCCCATTTTCATATTTGCATTTTATTTTTCTCCATTTTTATTTTAATCTTGTAAAATTCATAATAAATGGAAAAACAATGATTTTTTAATGGGAGTTTTTTCTCCTACTTCATATTCATGTCTAGAAAAATATAAAAGAAAAATAATTTCCTTTCATTCATTTTTAATATTTTTTGTATATTTTCCATTTTAATAGCTTTTTATTTCTTTTATGTTGATACCTGAATTTGTAGAATTTAGTTTAGGTAGTTCCCTTAGTATTTTTAGGTCATTCTTTTTAGGATAGTTAGATATATGTTTTAGCTTCCCCCTGGATTTATTCCATATTTTTGTGATGAATTTTAGGATAGTTTTGATTAGATAATTCTAGGTTGTGTAGAATTAGGTCAAACTTCAACATAGGACCATAATAACATTAGAATTTTGGGTTTTTAGGACAAGTTAGACTATGGGACATATAGGGCATTAAGGGTAGGTATGTAGGATCCCCTAGAAATTATATTAGGATTTAATATAGTAGTATGCTATTTCTAGTTGATTTTTGTATTGGTTGATTGTTTGTGTTGCCTTTAGGGCATTTTTGCTTTAGTTGCTTTGCTTTGTGGGCTTGGAGAGCTTGGTATTGTTCTAATGAGCATTGAGGAGCATAGTAGAATACTTGAAGATGCATTGAGGAGCTTGAGATCTTGTTCTTATTTGTTTTGTTTTTGTTTTAGGGTTAGGGATTAGGAAGAGTTTAGACTTAGATAACTTCTTTCTTAAACATGGAAGGTATCTGTCACCTCCATTCCTCCCTATGATTCAAAGTCCTTCCATGGTATACACCTCTCTCCTTTGGAGGGATAAGTGATATACCTAGGAAGTAGAACTTTTAAGGGAACCCTTCATTTGATGTTGAACCTTATAGGTCACCTTTGGTGGTCAATAAGCAGTTCAATATCCCCCAGCTTATCCAGTAAGTGATTTCCTCTGGTTTGATTGTCTTGAGAGATGCAGAGCCTGAGTTTAAAGATGAAGACTTCAATGAAGAGTATAGAAGAGGATGAATCCTTGAGCATTGTCATTCCAG